ACCCTGAGCTGTCCCTTCTCCCTCATATCCGCGCCACAACTGGCAACGCCTTCCATCACCTCCGGAACATCGTCAGACTACGGCACTACCTCACCCCTCACGCTGTTGAAACTCTGGCCCACTCCTTTATCACCTCAAGGCTGGACTATGGGAACTCTCTCCTCGCCGGCCTTCCCGGCACCTCCCTCCATAAGCTGCAGGTCATTCAGAACTCTGCAGCTCGTGTACTGTCCCGCACCAGGCTTCGGGACCACATCACTCCCACCCTCACTCGCCTCCACTGGCTCCCCATCCCCAGAGGATCGAATTCAAGATCCTCATCCTCACCTACAAGGCCATTCACGGCCTTGCTCCCTCCTACCTCTCCGACCTACTATCCCCCTACTTACCTGTCCGTACCCTCCGTTCCTCTGGCTCTGGTCTGCTCCACATCCCCCACCCCAACCGCCCTACCATCGGTGGCCGGGCCTTCAGCCTCTCAGCCCCCAGGCTCTGGAACTCCATCCCCCAGTGCCTTCGCCGCTTCCTCCCTTTCCTCCTTCAAGGCCGGTCTCAAGATCTTTCTCTTTGACCGTGCCTTCAGCTCGCCTCTCGACTCTCTACCCCCTCCTCGCTCCCTCCCTTCCCTCCCCTCACCCTGACCATTTCCCCCCTGCTCGGGTCCTGACCCAACTGTACAGCGCCTTGGGACGTCCTCCCGACGTGAAAGGCGCTCTATAAATGGAATCTTCTTGTTGTTGTTCTTGAGGAGGCTGGTTTGAATAGAACCATCAGTCCCCACTCTTATTGGTGACTATTATAAGCAAATGGGATAATTTCGCATGTAGAATTTTCCTTTCGCAAACAGTTGAAGCCAGTCTCTCTCAAAAAAAAACCCACAGGCATGAGCTTCTAACTCAAACCAATTGATTGCATGTGCTTTTTGAAGCAGTTTTAAATTTACTATATGCTACTCTCTAACTGCACAGTCTGCCCCTGGATGTCTCATCTGTTTCCCATTTTGTAAAGTGCTGGGCTTCCTCATAAATAATATTTAAAGCTAGAGCATAAGTAGAAAGAAACAGTGGTACTCTTCACTGTTATATTCCTCAGTGGCTCATATGAAGCACTTGTGGGAATGTTTTCGTTGCTCTTGAAAATCTGTGTAACCTGCTATTGTGCTGAAGTGAGACTTCAACTAGCAAGAACAGCTTAAAAATGTGAAGGTAGTGACTTATTGATGTGCAATTTACCATTGGATGCTCCTCCATAACCAGAGAAACGGGAGTAGACGATTGAGCCTGATTTGCCATTCTATTATTCACCTTTTGATCCCATTTCACTCCATATCCCTTCTTTCCCAGATATATCCCTTTTAAACATACTAATTGATGACACTTATAGGGCAGTGTTTTCCACTTTTTCGCAACCTTTGTGCAAAGAAATGGGTGTAGAAAAGTTGATGTGATGATTACCACTGGTAACATCATTATATTGTCAATTCCCACTTCTGTCAATGTCACAGTGGATGCCTGGGTTAACCTTTAATTATGGATCCTGAGGTATTGTACTGCGTTTACGTTTCCAGTCACATTTAAAATTTTATACACCACTGCAATGTCCCCTCTGAGTTGTCCTTCCTCAAGACTGAAGATCTCCAACTCAGGTGGAATTTCTCCACATTGATGCCCTGAGCTAATAGAAATACTGTAGTTGGCACAGATGAAAGTGATTCTGCCAAATATCATGCTGCAAAAAGAAAATCCGTATTGCAAAAGTAAATAGACAGCGTCCTTACATGTTGGAAACAAAACAAAAAATGATTCAGCGGCCTAAAATTCCACCTAGCCTTAGCTTGAAAGCTCATTTTGTCTTAAAAATTTAGATCCTGCACAATTGTGGAAAATCCTTAACATTCATTTTTAATTTGGAAGCCAGGAAAATCAGTTAAGCCCGAATTTTTAAACAAATTGTCCACAATTCTATGGGACCTTACATTTTGAGACAAATATCGTCTTGGAGCCCAATATTAGGTGGACTTTTGGGCCTCTGGTTACTATTGATAGAGATATAATAATACGTGCAGTCTTGCACTTTCTAGCACCTTTGCACGTCGAGAGGACATCCCAAAGCCCTTCACAGGATATCCTGTAAATGGCAGTGATTCGGTGTGGGCATATGTGTGGGTGGGTGAGTGCCCACATACATAGTATTCAATGATGTACGTAACATTCACCTATTGAGGAAGAGCTTCATCCCCTAGCTGTGTGTTGGTTTACTCTGCTTCACCTGTGGAATGAACACTGCCTCTCTTTTTCCTGTGGATTCTCTCTTCGTGGTGAGCTGTTCCCACATTCTTTTATATGCACTGGGTTAAAGGCTGAGTGAGGTGCTTTTTTAATATAATAATTTTTGTGCCTGAAGCAGGAAGAACCCATATAGAATTCATAATTATTTTGTCTCCTGTGAGACCTTTTGTTATTAAGAGCACTCGTGCACAGCAAACCATTCACGTTTTAAAGCCTCCTTAGAGCAGGCTATTCCAATTTGAACAGGTTGGTTAAATTGAATGGTTTGCGATATTAAACATGATGTTTTAAGAATAAGTTTCAAGTGTACATGCTGCCGTGATGTTCTTTGTTAAGAAAAGAGTTTGGCTAAATTATATCAATTAAATTGTATCAGAGTAGGGGGGAAAAAACATAGTTTTGAAATGTCTAAATCGGAAGAATCTATCAGGGAACCTATTATCAGGACTATAATAGAATATGACTTGCTCTTCATTTTCACTTATTTTATCTACATTTTCTGAATTATTATTTAAAAAAAGGGATGTTGGCTGCTTTGATTGGAAATGTCGTTGCTTCCAAAAATAGCAGCGGCTGATGTGCCAGAAGCCTTTTGAACAATGTGGCTTCAAGTTGCTGATTCAGCACTCCAATTTCAGCTCCAAAACCTGCTTCCCCATTAGAGCTTTGCATTATTGATCAATTGATGTGGAATTTGAGTGGAAAACTTGCTTTCCCCAAGTCAAAAGTGAAAGGATCTTCAGAAGGAAATATTCATTGGTGACTTTCTTTTTTCCCCCATCTATTTAATTTAAGTGGCAGGTGGGATCTCAGAGGAATGTGGAATATATCTGAAGATGTTTTGATAAATGTGCGATACCTACTGCCAATCTTGTTTTAATTTAAGTCAAATGCACCTCAGAATCTGCTAACTGAATCAATGTTTCGATTGAACTTTTTGAAGGAAGCACAGAATTTGTATTCACCAATGCACAGTATTGTTCAGGCATGTAATCTTAAAACTTCACATCTTTTTTGTAAGGTAATTAGCAATATTGGTGCCTTTAATATCAAGCCGAATGGAGGCAGCACAATTCTGAGTAATTCCTCAAAATTGCATTAGGCCTCTTTCGCCAGATGTTACAGATCCTGGAAACTGTCCTGCCAGTTTATTAAACTGGTATAGTAATGTGATGGCTTTGCAGAGTATATGCTGTTGGGTAGAATCACATGTTGAGCTCAAGCTTTCAAATACAAACAAACCAGTACTTTGTATTGTAAGAGTAAGAATGATTGAGTACACAGCTGCATGTATTTTCATATAGATTGCAGCCATGCTTTAGAAATGACATGGATCGTTGAATTAATCTGTTATAGAGGTGAGCATTCAGTTGATTCTAGATTTTGTAAATGAGCTGTTAAGGAAGATTTTAAGATTACCTTTCCAAAGTTTTCAAGCTGATGGAGGAAAAATCCATCCAATCTATCTGTTCTGTGGTGAAAGTTTCCATCACCGGGGGACACAGGTACAATGAAATGAGTAAGTTAGGAGTACAAAAGAAGTCTGACAGAAATGTTATTTTCTCGTAAAGGGAAAGATTTTTGGAATAAGGTGCAGGGTTTTTGATTCATTTGGGAGAACTTTTCACCTCTGAGTCAGAAGGATTTAAAGTTGAGCTCTTAATCCAGGCTGACTGCAATATCGGATGAGTGGCGAATTGTTGAAGGTGCATGCTGTATATCAGGCATTCATTTTAGGAAAAGTGAAAATGCTTATTTCTTGAATCAAATATTGGGAGTTTGTAGCATATGTTTTCTTGTTGCATGAAGGTGGAACAGCTAGTGGTTTAACACACCGGTGTGATTTAGTACACTGATGTGATGTGACTATCAATCCAATATCAGTAAACATTGAGGATGTGGTTGGTCTGTAATGTTACAAATACTGCAAAAAAATGACCGAGCAGTAGGAGGCGGAGCAAAGGAGCAAGCTTATTTCTTTTTAATTGATGTTTATGAATACTATTTTTTACAACCCTGTCACATGTTAATGTTCTGTCCTAAACTTCTAATAAATAATAATCCTTGCATTTGATATAACGCTTTTCACGTCTTCTAGATGTCTCAAAGCGCTTCACAGAATAGACTGTAAAGTGAATTGACTGTATATTTGTGGACTTCTCTCACAACCCTATACTTGCAACCTCTTGACTGTCAAAATCAATGCTCCTCTGCTTATGGTCATAGACTTGGAGAGGGGCTGCGTGTGTCTGCAGCTGGAAACCTTACACTTTCTCTCTTCATCACTGTATAAGCAAGCACTGTGTTCTCTACCACAGTTGGAGGGGATGGGTTGGTATGCATCCATTACAAATAAGTGTGTGACCCAATATGGCCAGTTATGGATAAGCCATTGTGGTCAAAGGGGTTCTACATTTGATCCTGACTTGACGAAGGAGAGTAAACAGTCTCAACAGCTTGTTGCTCTTGAACTCCAGGCTGAATTACCAAAGTAAGGTCTCACTGTGTTCAGAGTCAAACTGTGTTTCAAAGCCAAAATCTGAATAACTCAAACACGTCTGCAGCAATCTGTGACAAGAGCAGATTTAGAACAAAATACTTTGACAGAGACTGCCTAAGATTTTATTTGAATTCGTTTTGAATGGAAGAAAAAGTTTTTAAAAATGCCATTGCTGTGGTTTATTGATAAATATCCATTCATTACATTTGCAGATGAAAGAGAAGATGTTCAAAAGAAAACATTCACAAAATGGATAAATTCGCAGTTTACAAAGGTAAGATTTTTATTGTACTGGGGAATGTGTGTGTGATCACTGAGTTTAAATCAGTCTGCTCTGCTCTTCATGTCTTGTGTAAGGTGTTTAATTTTAAGCGGTTTATAAAATGTTAAGCATCGTCTCTGAGAAAACAGAATTAAAGGGTGTGAGGAGTCAGCAGGAGATTGTGATTAGACTCGCAGAGGAAAACACCAGCACAGTCTTTAGGGGTCAAACACCTTTCTGTTTTGTAAAGTCTACGATTCTATTGTATGCAGTTATCATGTATTCTGTGATTATAAGGTTGCTCTGCGCATTCAAGAAAGGATACATTTGATGACTGGGTGGGGGACACGCTGAAGACAAATTGTCCTGAATAGGCTAGAGTTTAAGTTGAACTTGACTATGTTTCCAACTGTTCAATTAGGCACCTTGGAACAAATCCAAGATGTCCACATCCGACACCCTGCCAGCAGAATTAAAATGAAGGCTACTCCAATATTGATGCTGTGTCACTAGATGTTACTAGCACATTTACTAAGTATCCCATGCCAAGTGTAACGAGCAGGCTAAAGACATCTAAAGGTAGAATATCATTACTTCGCTAGTCTAACTGGTGAATTGAATTGGAGATCTCTGAGTGGATTCTGCGTTTCAGACTGTAACTGTGGTTGCAGGTATAATACACATTCATTGAGAATAGACAGCCAAGTTTGGGATTGTATTAGACTTTGGAGATATTTTTATCTACTTTTCCATCTTTTCTCCATATACCTTAGACTCTTCCCAAGTATCAATCTATCTAACTCCTATTTAAACATTCCATTATATTTTGCATCTTGAGCTGTTGTACATTTTCACAACTCTCTGCCTGAAGGAATGATTTTTGATCTCACTTCCAACAGCTTTAGCTCTAATATTAAGATTACTCCAGAATCAAAGTGCTTGTCTTCATCTCCTGACTCCCTGGAAGATTAATGTTGGTATAACTATGTCAGCAGTCCATTAAAACAGTCAGAACTCTCAATATGTGGAAAATATGGAGCAGTGAGTTTTGGTGCAACAGCAATATAGTGGGAAATGAGACAGCTCAAGGTTTGGTTATCCAGTAATACTTAGTCCAGTAATGAACTTGATAATGATTCCTTACAGTAGTAGCAAATGTTATTTATGTCACGCTCAGCATTTTTAAAAATGCTAATGAATATTGAATTTAGATACTTCTATATAAGTGTCAGCACATTTAGTTTGATTTAATTCTTCTTCCATTCAGTTGTTGCAGTTATAAATTTAGCTCTTCCATAGTGGAGTCCTTCGATAATCCATTTATAACTATAATCCTTGCATTAAACGTAGCATTTATCACATCAAAATATGTCGAAGCACTTGACAAGAGCTTTTTTTTAAGGTGTAGTGTATGTGTAGGCGATTGCTGTAGCCAATCTGCGTTCAGCAATGTCTCAAAAAACAGCCATGAAGTGAGTGGTCAATTTTTTATTATCTGGGTGATTGTTCTCCAGGATGTCAGGAGAAACTCCCCTCCCTTTTCGAACATGGGATCTTTAACAACCACTTGAACAGGGAGGTATGACATCAGTTTAATGTCTCATTTGAAAGACACTCCCAATAATACAGTGTATCTCAGCACTGTATTAATGCATCATTCTAGACTATAAGCTCAAAATCTTGGTGTTGGATTTGAACCCATAATTTTCTCAATCCGAGGTGACCAATTGATTGAATTGGGTGACATTCCTTCAAAAGAGAGAGGCACAGCAGTGACCTCGAGTAAGCTTCCTTCTTGAAATGCACCGGCTCTTTTGTAATATTATTGTTTTGTTTATTATGCTTTTGGCAAACCTATTTTTTCACATTTAATACAACAATTAAAATGTTCAAATCTACAGAGCATCCCCTCCACCATGACTAACAATCATGGACCTTCATCTTTTATCAGACAATCTCTTTATGCATGTTTTTAAACTAGAAATTGTGCTGACAGTCATGGGTAAATCTGCGGGTTTGTGTACAAAATACAAAAATTATAGTTTGTGTATTATACAAGGCTTTAGTGCTTCAACAGGACTGGGGTCACTCATGGTAGCCTCAGTTTGTGCCTCCATTGTGTAATTTTGATATATATTGTTTTTTTAAATGCATTGTCAGTGATTGTCAGCATGGATTGCTTCTTTATTAAGGCATGCTGACTTTGTCAGTGCTACTTTTATTTCTCTGAAAATTTCTCAGATATTGCTCACTGGAATGAGGGTCTTGGTGTCTTATGATATCACAAAGCTTATCTTCAAGGCTGCAGGGTCTGGATCAAGATGTGGTGATTACTTTATAGACCGACAATACAACAATACAGCATACAACATCTTAGCAAACTGACAGCACAATGAGGATGCTCTCTTGGTTTTTGCAGCCCTAGTGTTTGGAGAGTATTCAGAATAGTAAGAATAAGCTTTAGCTTAAGATTGATGTAATCTTTTTCCACTGAAACTGAACAGTTGATTTTGTGCATGAGTGTTTCAAAGTTATAACAATAATCCTTGCATTTGATATAAAACCTTTAACATTAGAGGGATGTCACAAAGAGCTTCATGGGATACACTGGGTGCAATACTCCTGTTTGGTGGGGGCAGGAAGGAGAGAAGTTGAGACTCTGAGATTAAATAACAATAATAATACTTGCATTTGATATACCGCCTTATCACATCTTTGAGACATCTCAAAGCGCTTCACAGAGTATACTGTAAAGTGTGGATATTGGAAATTCCTCAGAGGTCAATCAGTATCTGAAAGGAGAAAGCTTGGTTCCTGTTCTGGGCATTACACTTTACCAAACCTGAAATAGTGGGCGAGGGGAGACCGCTTTCTGGAATAGAGGAGGATAATATATTGAAGTCTTAATTTGCAATATTTTTTTCCAAAACGGGGGAGAAGTGTCAATTGCGTTTTATGTTTTCCTTCTAATTTCCATTTATGAAACTGCTAAATGTTGTTGGCCCGACTCAGTTGGTAGCACTCTCACCTCTGAGTCAGTCAAAAAGTAGCGAGTTCGAGCCCCAGTTGGGGACTTTGAACTCGTATAGTGAAGTCGTACACTGATATTCTAGTGCAATCCTGTGCTGTGCTGCATTGTTGGAGGTGCTGTCTTTCAGATGAGAAAATTCAATCAATGTCCCATCTGGATATTCAGGTGGACATTAAAATTCCTTTGGTAGGTTTCAAAATGAAAAGGGAGCTTTCCCCTGTGTCCTGGCCAAAAATTCCCAAATGAGATTGATCATTCATGTTTGTGAGACATTGCTGTGCACAGAGTGACTACTCCATTTGCCTATAAAGTACAGTATTAATACTGTACAGATACTGTGAAACGATTTAAAATGAAACGATTTGAAACATCCTCCTCACGTGAAAAGCGCTTTATCAAATGCAAGGATTCTGGTTATAAATGGTGATTTCTGAAAGCCACCAAAGTGCAAAAATAAAAAAGGCAGGAGAGCAAACCAGCTGATTGAGAGAAGCTGGCATTTCTGTGCAGTTTTGTGGCTCTGGAAATTGCAATTTAGACATTTTGGTAAATTGGACCCCGGCCCCATTAGGAAGAAATTTAAAACTGACAACATCAAACAGCAGCTCATGGGCTATTAACAGATCTGTTAATTGATTTTGTTTAGAAGTTATCAGCAGATCTGTTAATAGACCAGCAGCTGCGTCTGAATATAATCATTTTTATTGCATAAAAAATGACCACATCAAGAGGTGGTTGACTGAATGTAAAACCCAGTCAAGCCTGAAATGTAACCTGTCTTTCTCATTGAGATGATGATCAATATACTGTGGATTTCCAGTAATTTGGTTTCTATTTAAAATTTCCAGCACTCTGTTTTCCTTGTTCCACATAATATTGATAATAATAATCATTGAATTTGATGTAGCACTTTTCACATTGGGAGGGTGGCTTAAAGCACTTTGCAGGATTTACTGTGAAGTGTATTGTGTATTTTGTAGGCAAAGTCAGCAGCCAGTTTTATGCTCAGCGATGTCCTGCAAACAGCTGCAAAGTGAATGGCCAATTTTATTTGGGAGATTGTTGGCGAGGACACTGGGAGTTGAGTAACCAGAAGCTGCGTGGATAGGGGGTTGAGGCAGCAGGTGGTGGGCTTCATCTGGCTTATGGTGTGGGAAAGGGAGGAGGGAGAGATGGGCACAAAGGAGTGTAGGGTGGGGTGCATGGTAGGAGAGGGTGATGAAGGAGGTATGGGGGTGCTGGTAGGCGACATCGGTGGGAAGGAGGAGGCAGCCAGGCGAGTGTTATCTATCTTAGAGATAATGAAGTTCAGGACCTCTTCGCACTTGGCATCTGAAGTGAAGATCGAGGGTACTTGAGTGGGGGTGTGGAGGAGGTGGTGGGTAATGAGAACATGATCTGGGAGGTTATTTTTGGCCTTGAGAATGACCTGTAAATAGAAGTATCGTTTTCAAGAATAGGAACTTGAGAAGGAAAACCTTGCAAGGATGTGGGGAAAGAGCTGGGCAGTGGGAGTGATTGGGTAGCTCTTCCAAAGAGCCGGCATGGGCACAATGAGCCATATGGCCTCCTTCTGTGCTGTAATACACAGATTCTATGATAACAGAGGAAGGTATCCAAAGCAGATATTTCACACATCGGAAACTTACACATAATACTTTTATTTGAGAAAATACCCACTCTAGTGAACTCGTCAGATCATACCATTTCTTCCTCACTTCCTTTGCATTTTGGAATTTTTCAATCAGATGTTGGCCCTCCTGATCACTTTCTTGAATACCAGCTACCTTTCCAGCACCCTCAAACGGATCCTCCTTGTTGGTCATGACACCTTCCACTAATTCCTCCCCTAGTGCCATCATCTTGATATTCTGTACTTCACAGCTGTATTGCTGCCTACCTGTGCTATTTTTACATTTATGAGGTTGTTGAGCAAATAGAAACACCTATCAGGACTCATAATTGACGCTGTTTCCATTAG